ACAAAGGTGTGAATAATTAAGTTTTCACCTTATGTGTTTTTATGTTGCATGTTCTAACGAAATAATATTTTTCACTGTTAAATTCTTTGCGTCCATATATATATTAACGGACATATCGAGACTTAACAGCTAAACCTTATATAGTAACCCCCATAGATCTAGGAAAAAAATATAACTTTGAAATTAAATACGTACTGTAAATGGCACTTTATATGCCTTAATTCGAAATAACTAAGGGATTGACCAGAGTACACTTACGATGAACTACAAGCAGCGTTTAGCAGTACGCAACGGTTTATGTCCGTTGTATTTTCTCCAAAACGTAAATAAATGCGATCGGGAAATAATAATGAGGTTGAAGATTGTCCTTTCAATGAAACACAAATAAAAAAAAATATTTAAACTTTCAAGGACTCATATTCTTTGTAATCTGTTCACTGTTATAGATAAACGATGACAAAATTCATTTGTTCGGGTTTGTTCTTCTTTATTTTAAATCGGGATTGAACTTGGAAAAATGGCGGCTTCACGATTTCGCTTATATTGAATTACGGATATATTGAAATAATTTGCATGGTCCCCTGAATTTCAATATATCCGCAGTAGGCTGTAAAAACTTAATTATACGTCGGGCATTAACTTTTTGTATGATGCTTTTAAAAACAATATTTTCACATGAAAGAAACTTGTCAATACAGATTCCTAAATATCTATTCATTGTTGTCTTTATACAGATTTGCTATTGAATGTTTTATAGTTTTTTGTATTTATATAGATTTGCTATGGGTTTTTTTTCCTTACATAGATCTTTATTTAATCATGTATCTATCTACGATCTCAACTCTGTTTATTGCAATACAATCTGACTTCTTATCAACTGGTACTTGTTGTCTCATGAGTAAAAACTACTTGTCTTTTTCTTTTACATTCAGGGGTATAAAATGGAAACGTTTAACGTAACTGGATAAAAAAAAGTATTATAAGATATCAAAATTTTACTCATTTTCATAACGTCTTTGTTCAGCTGTTAATGTTGGATAATAATTGATATTACCAGTTTAGTTTAGTACACATATTTCATGGATGATTGGTAAGTAAGTGGTGATGAAAGGACTTCAAAGGACAGATATGCAACTGAACACATGGTTACTATTTTAATCTCTTATTTCCATATAATGAGTAAAACATTATCATGTAAACATCACTTTCAATCTAATCATCAGTATGGAATGTTCAGTACGACAACAAACAACAAGGAATCTTGCTGTGTGCATTATTGTTGTTTCTCTTGTTCATGTCTGAAATTGCCGACTTGAAGACTTTCACAGTGTAAATTACTGCCTGAATTTGGGCTTTTGACAATCTATTACAAAGTTCTGAAAAATTTGTTTAATAGAAAGAGAGAGAGAGAGAGAGAGAGAGAGAGAATGATTTTTTGGTCGATTTTCCCCTTTTTTCTAATATATTCCCCTTTGCAGTAGACGTTTAAAATAAAGTCAAACGTCATGCATTAATATCAATAAAATTTACCACAACATAAATGAGATTGATCCCGATAATTTTGAGAAAGTGTCCTAATATTTATCAATTTTTAAATAAAAATCTTTATAAAGAAGTACCTGGTACACAAATGCTAATTTAATGTGTCATTTGTAATACAGTCAAACTTGTCTTACCGGTCACCAGAAATCAACGGCCACTTGCGGTCAGCAGCCACTCTGAGCCCCCCCCCCCCCTCCGATTTTTACTTTATATTTTAACTTGAATAAACGGCCACCTGTGTAACGCGGCCACCCAAATCCTCCCACACAACCGTATTAACACTGTAGTAGGCGGCCATTTTGTCACATAATGTGATTCTATCACGTCTTTTAATATACACATTCGCTTGTAATTGTGTGACCGATAGTAAATTTTACTTATTTAAAAAATAAAACAAATTATTTTTAGATGCGCTTAACTCTGTGTTAATGAAAAAATATTTTTGTCCTGTAAGACAAATTTGTAATTATTTTTCAAGATCGACGATTGAAAATTTAAAAGAATTTAGTCACAATTAATAGTTTTTCCATAGCTAAAAAAATTCAAGCTTAAAGCTACATTTTGTAATTTACGATATTAATTCATCATCACTATGAATATTTACTGTGAGAGTATGTGACCTAATACAGGGCTATCGGTATTTTCATACGTTTAAGATTTTGATTCCATGTAGAAGCTCTAATTATTGAATGTTTCACACCTCGAACAAAGGGTTTTTGCTGCCACCAAATCACTTAATTGGTACACCCCAAGCCCAAGCTTCATTGTTGGGCGACTCTGCCATTGTTTGCATTATTTTTGTGCAAATCATTACCAATGATAGGTTACAATCATGGACACTGGGCAAGGTCACCAGACAATGAAAAATGGACCTGATGTACTCCATAGTCAAAGAATCTTCACAGTTACATATTAAATTAGTACAGGAAGAGAGATCTCTTTCTTTTCCCCCATCTTTCTTCCTGAATTATTCAACTTAAGCCAAAATTAAAACTTGAATAAATTAAATAAAACTTGAAATTAAAATCAAAAGTAAAAGTGAAATTTAAGAAATATCTAGTAATTTATTGAATATTTAGGATTTACCATTTACATTGGTACTTTAATCAGAATTAACGCATCGAGAAGTGAGAACAATAAAATTTTACTTACTATTTAATTTTTTCTTCCTAAACAGATATTGACTGATTGGGACACAGCAAAAGGTCTAAATATTTTTTTTTAAAGATGTTCAAATACGCAGGAATCTGCCTAAATTGCTCAAGTAGTGTACATGAATATCCAAGCGTAAAACTTTCTTTCCTGCTTTGTATTCTAAGGAATTCTTTGCTTTTCAGGAGAAATTTATCAATTTACCACCAAGAACACATGTTCAATAATGTCCACAAAACTAAAATGATCCTGATTTAAATCCATTAAAATGACATCTTCATACATATAGAAATGAACATGTATTATGTTTGAAAACTATTCACTGTAGATTGTCACCTGACAGGTAGATATTACCACGAGGGTATAATTATCACATAATTTTGGGCCTGTACAAAATGGCTTCGCTTGGCACCAAATCTAATATTACTCGGGAAAAGTTTACCAACATAAACTTGCTACTCATGTGAAAACAAAATGCTTTGCATGGATTGATTATCTTGTTAATTTCACTATGAAGAGACGTTTGATAGGATTTAGTCACGCTCTACTGCACTTGACACCTGTGTTGTAGTAGAATGATTTTCAACTGCGTAAATACACCTCTCTGGTCAACTGAATAATCTTATTTGTGTGTCTGTGTATGTTAGATAGAAATTCTTAATTCTGACAGCTTTATAAAAAATAATATTGATAATTTATCAGACTATAAAAACTTCAGCAAGTAAGTTGATTGCCGATTAATAAAGTTGGGGATGGGTGTGGGGGGTGTTACACTGCTGATCATTACCTGAACATATCGTAGTGAAATTTGAGTTTATTGACACTGAAATAAATTTTTATGCTTTATTTTATTCACCATGAAACTGTCTTTTAATTAAAGCTTTTGTATTTTTTTCTTATTAAAAAAAGATAGTGGTAAGTCACATGTATTTCTTGAAATGAACCTTTAGTAATCATTCAGAAGAGTTTATTTACAATGAACTAAATGGATGTACAATATAGAAGAGAATTTAAAATTAGCGTGCGTTCGCAATCTTTTTTTTTTTTTTTTTTTTTTTTTTTGGAAGAAAATAAATATTTTGACCTTGATCCTTGGAAAAGGACTTCTCGAAAGTAGGTGTTCTCTTATAGCTAATCATCCAATATTTTCAAAAATAGTCATGCTGTTTAAGACTTCTGTAATCCATATTAGATTTATTTTTGAAGTAATTTTATGGAATGAAAAATTAGTTGAGTGTCAAGGTATAACAAATTGAATTATTGTTTGTCCATTGAAACATAACGTTCAAACTGGATTGTATCACGACTTCTGAAAAGATTGTATTGGTATATAATATAAAACAACAGTCATTCAACTTTGTCATTGTTGAAATAACTTAAATAAGATATTTTGTAAAGGGTTTTAGATGCAAAGATAATTTAAAGGGTTTTTAAATCACATGTCCACACAGTAGGTCAAAATAAAGACAAGAGGAAGATTGCTTATATCCTCAGCTTTATATTCTTAAAATAACTAGATACCTAGATAGACACGTATTGGAATTACAGGTAAGAACGCATTTTAAATCTAAAAATTAATTATTCAATTTTTAATTTCATTCATTGATTTTTTGTGTTTTGATTGGAACAAATTCAGGAAAAAGTTTATCGATAAGTTTCTTAATCAGAAGGACTTTCTAAACCCTATTTTTTTTTATTAAAAAAGAAGTCGTAACTGTAAGTCTGCCTTAGATAAACAATTACAGAAATTTAAGACTTAATAAAAACAAAACAGTGTACTTTCTTAAACAACCACAAAGACATCGGTCGCTCCTTTAGTCAATTATTAGGATCACCTTCAGCATTTTATGAAAATCTAAAAAAAAAAATCATCGATTGTATCTTGTTAACGTCCCGTTGAAAAGTTTTCTCCCAGAAAGACACGTCACGGAATGGTGGCGGTTACATATGAGTGAAAAATTATCGAGAAAGAAGTTAAAAACAAACAAACAAATACTCTCCACACAGTTTTACTATCTTCTTTTTCTATAATTGCGAAAGAAAGTAAATACATTTTAAATATTTGATTACTTCACTACAAATACTACACCGTAAACAACTCAAAGGATAATTTGTTTTGTAAATTTTTGACAAAATTACTTGATAAGACTGATGCAATATAAGATGCATAAAATTCTTTTATTACACATTAATAATTGTTAATACAATGCTTTTCACTATTGAGCTTCATAATGATATACTGTTATAATGAAACCCCGTAGTTTTATTCACAGTGAAGCCTTCATCATGTGATCAAGATACCAATTATGAACCCCCAGTACAGTGCCCAAGACATCCTCCTCTGTGACCTATGTCAAACAGCTGCATTACATAGTCATTGTAAAGTGTGTCAGATTAACCTCTGTAATGTTTGTGTTGGGGAGCATCTTTCTGATTCATCCAAAAGACATAATGTTATTCCATACAAACACAGAACCTCTACTCTTAAGTACCCAAAATGTCCAAAACACAGCGAGAAAAGTTGTGAGCTTTATTGTGAGAAATGTGATATTCCTGTCTGTTCTACCTGCATCTCCTCTTCTGTTGAACACAAAGGACATATTTTATCAGACTCTCTGCAAAAAATATGTCTTAAACGAAAAATTCTAGAAGAGGACTTAAATGAATTAGAGAAAACAATCTATCCTGTTTATAAAGAATTCGAAAAAGATTTAAAATCTAAAAAGGAAAGCTTTGAAGAACATTATGAGAAACTGGCAACAGCTGTCTCTAAACAAGAAGAAATTGTGCAGCATAAAATCCACAGCATTGCCAAAGAACACATATCTAATATCCATGAGATGAAAAACAAACATCGAGCTGCTTTAAATAATCAAGAAAAAGAAATCAAACATATAACTTCTGATGTAAAACATAACATGCTTGAACTGAAAAAAATACTGGACTCTGACGATGTGTCTCTTATCTCTGAATACAATTCAAGGAACTCTGAATTTAGATGTCTACCTCCAAAAGTCAATGTTTTACCACCAAGATTCTCTACTCATTGGATAAGCAGAGAGGAGCTCCATGTAATGTTTGGTTTCCTATCAACATTATGCATTACAAAAGAAGAACATGGCTACACAATGAAGACGCCAGAAGCTGTATGCTGTCCTCCAGTCAAACCACTGCTTGATGAGCCAAAGCGCATTGCAACCATACAAACTCGATTTGAAAGGCTAAACAGTATCACCTGTCTCAGTGATGAGGAAATTTGGACATGTGGAGAAAATCAAATCATAAAGCTTTACAACATCCAGGGTAAACTGCTTAAATCAATTAAAACCAGGTCAGATGCAAGAAATATAACAGTGAATAGAAGTAGAAATCTTATTTATACAGATTTTCGATCTGTATACGAAGTAATAAATGAACAGATTCGTAAAGTGGTAAAAAAACAAAGGGCCCAAGGCTGGGGTTTTTTATATGACTGGTACCCTGTCTCTGTCTGTAGTACCTCCTCTGATGACCTCCTGATTATCATGCGCAACCATTCATCTGACAGGCAATCAAAGGTTGTACGTTACTCGAACTTTACAGAGAAACAAACAATTCAGTATGATAGTGAGGGTCAACCTCTCTACTCATCTGATAGTACAAACGTCGTTGAGAACAGGAACTTTGATATCTGTGTGGCTGACAAAGGAGCAAATGCAGTGGTGGTGGTCAATCAGACAGGAAAACTCCGATTTAGATACACTGGTACTCCCTCCGCTACAAACGGATCATTTTATACATACGGCATCACAACAGACAGCCAGAGTCATATTCTGACAGCTGACTATAACAACCACTGTATTCACATTCTAAATGAAGACGGACAGTTCCTCTGTTGCATTTATAACCGTGATCTATATCGCCCCTGGACTTTATGCATTGATACCAGAGACAACCTTTATGTCAATGAGCGTTACAGTGGTATAATAAGGAAAATCAAATACATGTAGCGCTGTAAATATACACGCTTTGGAACAAACATTTTTATCTTGAATCATATTCAAATCATTATCATTATTTCGTGTTCAATAGTCATCTGATATGTCATCTGACATGCTTTCCTTCTTTGCAAACATTAAGATTGATTGATTGTATGTTGTTTAACGTCCTCTTGAGAATCGTTCTCTCATATGGAGACGCCACCACTTATCAGTGAAGAGCTACAAAGTTTTTTCTTATACTCGGCACTAAGGCCATTGAGCAGTGAGGGAACTTGTTCGAGTCAGCGGGACCTCGTGACACGGGACCTCGATTTACACGGTCTTATCTGAAGAACCGGTCTCCACGTCCCACAGTGAGATTCGAACCCTTGACGTTAGGATCGACTCTTTACTTCGCGAGCAGACGCTCTAACCACTGCGTCACGCAGGCGATTCTGTTAAGTAAAAATAGGAATTTATATCAAATGAAATTTCATAAAAAGCAAAATAGACATGAATGGTGCGTAAAATGAAGAGATTAAATGATTGAAATTGGGGGAAAAATTACTTTCATAAATGTGATTATCTTGGTAGAACGAATTTTCGTTAATTTGATGTTTGTAAAATAAACTATAATACCGTAAATGATTTCGCAATACTGCATTACTTCTTGGCTTCTTAATTGATTCTTATTTATAGCCTTGAATATTTTTCAGCTCTTAAATATTTTGATTTTTTCGAAATACATGTATCTTAAAACTACGTGTATATACAAATTCTGTTGGTCTATTCTGATATTTCTTATGTTCATAGTAAAAACGCTATAAGATCACGGTACATTAATGATTTTCTAAAGAAAGACACAAGATCTCATGCAGGGTTCTCTATCATTTGAAATTTTACTTTGTTGTAGAGTTAAAGCAAAGTACTAAAATTTCGCGGTACTTTCGCGATCAGAAATTCGCAACTAAATCACTATTCATTATAATTACAAAAGAATACATGCACATACTTCTTTAATTATCGCTTATTCCTTACTCAAATGGTATTGTCGAACACATGTTCTGAAAACATTTGTACAAAAGATTTTTGATAGATGTGGTTTATCAAATATATGGTATGAGCACGAACATTATTTTTATAATTTAGAATGGATAACTGCTATAGTCAAACAAAGATTAAAAGATCAATATATTCATAAGTGGAATAGTGAAGTACAAGAATCTTCAAAAAGTTTGAATTATAGAATTTTTAAAACCAATTTTGAGTGCGAAAAATATTTAACACTGTTATCATTTAAATTTAGAAAAAAAAATTTGTTAAGTTTAGAACCACAAATCACCACCTCCCAATTCAAACAGGTAGATGGAATGGTACTCAAAGAAATGAAAGAATTTTTAGCTTATGTAGTAGTAACCAGATAGGAGATGAGTATCATTATATTTTACAATGTAGTGCTTTAAAACAACTAAGAAAAGTTTATTTGAAACAAAAACATTTGTTCTAATCCAAATATCATCAAGTTTTGTGAAATCATGTGCCAAAATGATGTTGATTCTTTGAAACGATTATGTACATTTATTTCTAAAATTAATAGCATTGTCTCTTCTCTTTAATTATCACCTTCTGCTTGACCCACTGTATTATATGTATATATGTTTTATGTTTTTGTACCTCATGTACCATTTACATGGTTTTGAGAGAATAAATTGAATTGAATTGAAAAGCAAAGAAAATTCTGGTCGATACAGTCGAACTACGTAACATTTTGAAAGTGAATGTCATATTTATTTGTCAGTTTTATTGCTCGAATTAACGAATTACAAAAAAGAAACTTCAGAATGGTTAAATACTTTGATGAGTCCTTGAACATTTTTAGCAATTTATTTACATCAATTTATTGACTTTGGTACGATGTAATTTTTGACTAACAATACTAACATAATTCATAAAAAAAATAATTCTAGAGCTAAGGCTCTATAGAAAAGACGCTTAAATATTTTTTTTAGATAATGCAATGTATTTTAATGCAACTACCAATAAACTGTTACATAGAAGTGTTAAAATAAATTATTTGTCTTTGTTTCTACATGCGTAAAGTCCAGCGAGGAACTAGGAGATAATTGATTATGCAAGGTAAAGCCCTAATAATTAAGTGCTCTACCTTTTAGAATTTAAAGACGAGAGAAATGTATGTTGAAAGTTTCAGCTATAGGAAATGTATATGTTTGGATTTTCTGATTAACACAGATCTAGGCTGACCTTTCTGTGAGCTTTGGGGCCTCTCCGGTGTCTCCATGGCAACCAAAAACGGACTACTGCACATTCATTCATCAGATTTTTTTTCCAAGCTCTTCCTCAGTAAAATTCGGCCAACAATGCATCATTTGTTAAAGCTAAGTTCTCGCAAGAATAGCAACAAAAGTTCAGCTTAAAGTAAACACACCCTGATCGATTAATTGGAAAAATATTGAAGATAAATAGGAAACGAAATGTTCTAGCTTAATTTTGATTTACTTTCAGCAGTGTTCAGGCATTTTGTTTTTGTAATACAATTTTCAGACGTCATTTACATAAGATTTTAGACGCATCAAATTGCACGTGCTGTTTGACAAGCCCAATCTAAATTATAACAAAAATAATACCTGCGCTCGTCATAACGGTCGCACCGTCAGCATATTAAAGACAAGGCATCAATGTTCTTAAACGAACACAATCAAATGTAAGACATCATATAAAATATCGTTCAACATCAATATCAATAATAAGCTCTGAAACTTAGAATCAACATGCTCATATCAGTAGTATTTTTGTATGTTGAACACTTACTTTATTGATGTTGGTTGCCATAGGTAAAGATTACACATACGAGTCAGCTGAATATTGTCATAACCTTTGCCCTTTGGTTGCTGTAATCTTTTCATAACCTCTGATCTTTGGTAGCATCTCCTAAGGACTTTAATTCTTTACATCACTCATTTTTTCATACATCCTATTGATAATCTCCTGTCGAAAAACAATTTATATGAGACTATTATTCTCTGGCAACATAATTACATGTAATTATCATGGGTTATTTTGGGAATGTTTGAGGCTATAATTTAGTGATCAATACATAAAAAGTACAAAGACAATCATCAGACGTCATTATCAAACAAAGATTTTGGATTAAATCATACCCTGCGTATTTTTTCTGGAGATCTGAGAATCAACAAATAGAATTTACGGGATTTTATGTGTTTCTCCTGTTCACGACATTTGGAGAATACCGCCCCCTCTCATGAATCAACACCGATTTAACGCTTGCAGGTTCCGGGTTCGTTTCGCTGCTTTACTTATTCACACCCGGTTGTCATTGATCTATATACTTTTAAGGACCCTCTCTACACAAGTGCAATTTTGGGGGGACATTGAGAAAAATATATTGTATAAAGGAGTTAATATTGAGTTTATTTACTTAATTTGCAATGTATGCTGCTTGTCATTTACCCCCGCAAAAATGTTCAAAACAACACAGTGTCAGTAAATAGAAATCAGTTAATTACTTCAGCAGAGAAAATAATTGTTAATACCACGTTCAATTAATTTACCATGGCCTTTTAAAATGTTAAAAATATTTGAATTGATTCAAAATTGAGGGATAAATTGTAAATTTCTAATTTTTTTTTATTAGAGCTAAGTACAGATCTCTCTAACTTCAGAAATATACCTAAGAATCAGAACTCTTTAGTGTGCAGTGTAGAGAGGGTTCTTAACAAATAAAATAGCCATTTTCTGTAAACATATAAATTTTTAAGACACGGATTGCTCTGCAAATTTAGGTTAAATTCACTTTCTAATAAATTATTTCAAAGGAGTATGTTAGATCATAACAGGACTTATATACTAATAAATAGTATAGAGGTTCCTGATCATAAGAATGCAGATTACTTTTTGAAATAGAATATAGCGAAAATTACTTTTTTTTCCCTTCTCACAACCAATTCAACAATCATGTTTTTTACATATAGTTTAAACAACAAAATACTTTCTTTTTTTGTAAGTGTCACATGCAGATGAAAATGAATCATTGGACATTTTAACAACTGATTTTTCTTTGAATATTGTCTCTGAAATTTTATAAATCTGTTATTGATTTTACAGATGTCAAATGAGTTGTAATTACTTCAATCAGTCAGATTTATCTATTTTGAAATGTTGAATTATTTTAATTAGCTATGAGTAATATGGCCAGATGGACTGTGCTATGAATTATACATGTATATAATATATGTAATTTTTGAAGACCTTTGTTCGTTACATAAAGGCTACTTAAGTTTACAACTGTGCTTAAGTAGGACCACGGGCACCTGACGTGTGGATCAATACCCCTCTTTTTTAATTGTAAAAAAATGAAAGAGTGTATTATATCTTAGAAAAATAAAAAATTATCCGTCAAACACATCCATATTTTGTTCTATGCACAATTTCTCTACCGAGGTAAATCATTGACAAACAAGTTGGTTAAACAATGAATAAATATCACCAGTCTCGGTTAAAGTCACCATTTCTTAAGTTCTTTAATAGTTCGATACAATGACCTTGTCAGCAAATACAATTTATCATTGAGTTTAATGCTGACTGACATTTTTCATACTTATTGTTAGTCCATTATTTGTACACTGAATTGACGACGAATTTTATCCGTTATTTCCCGATCATGACAAGGAGCACACGGCGGTTGTGACCGCTCGGCAGGAACGCTCACTCCTTCATGACACCTGATCCCACATCTGATGTTTTAGAAATCTGTGTGTGCTCTGCTCCCATTTTGTATTGTTTTATGGACTTTGATATTGAATACCGTTACAGGTATCTCCATAAGTTTCATTACTAAATCATTGTTTATTATATATATAATGCTGCGCCTCGGTTCAAAATGGTTTTCTTGGGTTGAAAAGTTTCAATGTTAGACTCAACTACATGCAATATTTGTTATATTATATTGAATGTTTTATACAAATGCATATAACATTGAAACGTGAGCACAT